ATGATTTCTTCTGAAGTAGTCTAAGATGTATTTTGGGTTCAGAGCTTTGATAACCAGAGGATCATACTTGATGAAGTTGTAGATGCCAATGCCAGCAATGAATATGAACCAAACAAAGATTATAGGAGCGAACGCGTAGCCAACTTTGTCCGTTCCCATTCTTTGAAACATAAATAGGAAGACTAAAATTCCAACTGATATCCATACAATCCTCTCTACAAGAACAAAACTCAATTTCTTGAGAACAAAATAAGTACCTCAAGCTTTACAAACCCAAAAATAATAAATGATATAGTTACTGAAGTACGAATACAAACCATTGGATTCAACATAGATAAATGCATGTTGCACATGTAAAATTTTTTTAAAATGCAGTATACATACAACACATTGTAATGTTGTTGATATTGCAGAAAGAAGGCAAGCAAGAAACACATAGTGATATTATTGATACAACACAAAAGTTTTAAGTTAATTTCTGAGTTCAATAGTACCTTCTGTCATGGCAGAGGTAGCTTCTTTGATCCCTCCTACTGCTGATAAAACTGCATTTTTACAAATTGAATGTCAGAGAACATGTTAATCTTTGACAGTACAAATTGTTCAAATTTCATAAAGTTGAGTGAGGGGAAATTAATCAGTATTATGAGGCCTAGTTGGAAATAGAATTCAAGCTGGCTAGAGCTATTGAGATACTCGAGCCCAATAAGGACCACATACGTATGGTTTGCAGTGCCCCAGCAGTTGTACTATCCCACTTACTGCAGCTGAATCAATGGCATTACCCTATTATACATGCGAGTAAATAGTAACTTTCACAGAACCCATGTGCATTTGATTTTTTTTTTTCTTTGGGATGTTTATTTTTGGGGGTTGGGGTTGTTTGGTTGGGGGGGGGGGCTCGGAAGGAATGAAAACCGAACAAAATTTCATGATCAACTTGCTAATGTTGCTGTCAGTTGAGTGGGTCTTGGAAGCAAACTCGAAGGGAATTGAAATCTGATCAAAATTTCATGATCAACTCGCTATTGTTGCTATCAGTTGAGTGGATCTTGGAGACAAAATATATCAAAATTATATTTACAGTACTTATATATTATATGTCAACCAACTCTCTTTATACGAGTTGGCTATCAAGTAAAATATAAAATAATAATAAAATTCAAAAGGTTCGGAGTAGTGCACTTCTAGAGGTCGAATCCTCTTCCTCTAATTCTCGCTGGTCTAATTGGATCCTCTCCTAGGCGGATGCTATTACATGCCAATTACATAGGTAGAATAATAGGAATAATACCATGTACCTATTCGCAGCGCATATGGTACTTATTCATAAAGAGATGTAAAACTGCAAATAGGTAATACTAATTATTTTAGAACAGCTTAAAGTCGCATGAGAATGAGGTAAAGGAAGAACATACCTGAAATTGAAGGAGTGAGAATACCATCCCCAATCACCATGGATGTACCAAGCATTGTGATTATTAGGAGGAAAAATTTGGCAAATTTACTTTTTTCTAGCTTGGATTTGAATATGGATGCTCTTAGCAACCGATGATTTTCCAGCTGAAAAGTCGAAACATCTTGATCTGCTGGTTCTTGACTTGGGATCAATCCAATCTTGGCATGACGACATATCAAAGAATACATTGCGAATGTTCCACCTAAATACATAAGACAAAAATTTTTTGTATGTAAAAATAAGTGAATAAGTGATGAAATGATGTAAATGTTAAAGATTTAAAATGATTATCTTCATTTACAAAAATAAATTTTATCTTTCAATAACTTCCAACAACTTTATTAAAAGTTTCCAAGCGAAATATTAATTCGATAGCCAGAACTTTGATATTAAAAGTGTCCTTGGTTTAACATTCCCCAAATCCACATAACAAAAGCGTTTCTTTTCTTCTATGACTATGCATATTTCGGTCACAGAAGCAGTACGTATGCAAGATATCTCTTCAAATCTTCTCAATTATGAGTGACACAAATCTGCACTTAACACTAATCACGGTAACCTACAAAAGGAAAACATTATAGACAGTATGTACAATGTCTAAAAATTAAACTCCACTTTTTTTTTTTTTTTGGTAACACCAATTTTTATTTTCCTTGTGAAAACCCTTTCCATTTGTTATTTTCTCTTGAAAAAGAAACTTGCAAGAATTCGTTTCAAACTGCTCTGATGAAGTAAAAACAGCTGCCGAGTGAAGAAAGTTCAAAACTTATTTAAAGAAATAGCTGCTAGGTCTTGCCTTCTCCATTGTCGGTTGCGCGTAGCACAATGAATACGTACTTGATGAGGGGGATCAAAGTGATGGTGTACAAAATCAAAGAGAGAACAGCAAGTATATCATCGTTATGGTTAATTCCCCCTGGAAAGGTGCTGGAAAGTACGTATAAAGGCGATGTCCCAATGTCTCCATAGACCACACCAATGCTTTGGAAAGCCAAATGCAAGGTTACTAACCATCCTCCATTCTTCAAATTGCAATAAATAGCAAGCGAAAAAAAAAGGGTTTATTTAGACAAACAATTCCCAATAACTCACAAAAAGAACAAAGATAAATCAAATCATATCAACCTCAAAAGTCTTTAAATCGCAGTATAAATAACTTTTTAATCGCGAAGAATAGATGGTTGAGTTGCTTACCACTCGTGCTCGCTTCTGACTCTAAGTTAGAGTAATACAAGCATATTTGTATTAGCATAAAACATAGATGTGTGTATTTATATATATGTCAATAGGTAATCGATTTCTTGTTTCTAAACTCTTTGGATCACTTTAAATCGATCATAGATCAAACATATATCGCCCCCAAAAGCGAAAAAATAAAATAAAATGAAAAGAAATTACTGTCTTGGAACAACAAACCTTGGAGCTATGGTGATTAATGGGATGAAGCTTGTTGGCTTCAACGTCCAAGGAGTCATATCTTGAGAATTTCCGGCAAGAAAGTTTCTGCTCTTTGAGCTGTATTTGGGATGGAGGACTTTCACCGCTGCTTATTTCATTGGTGATTTTAGTCTCATGAGTGTTGGTTTCTTGAGTGGCAACCTCTTCAGCAATACTACTAGTAGACATTTTTATCCACATACAGATTCTAGTGGGAGAAGGGCTGAGAGATTTAGTCAGCCAGGCTGAGGAAGTATCAAGGAAAGGAGAAGCGATTTATATTTACACGCCGTCGCCATGCATGAATGAGCTTTTTTGGGATACCACACGGTTCCTCCGTGGATCAAAACTGCCCATATTTATATCATCAGCAGGATTCATGAGTGGGAAAAAGGTTTTCTCCTTATATGGATTCATTTGGCTAGTGTGATTTTTTTTTTTTTGTCGTAACGGCACATGTCTAGCCTACTCCTACTCCTACGGGAGCGGAGGGAATCTACTATATAAGGAGGCCCAACTAAGTGTAACGGCACATATCTAGCCTACTCCTACTCCTACGAAGGCGGGGAAGGGGGGAATCTACTCTATAAAGAGACTCAGATCTCATATTGAAGCACATTAATGTGGTGGCTAACTCCTCTAGATGGAGTTGGTTGGCTGGTTTGGGATTTGATTGAAAAAAGTTTGACTAGCTTTACCTAGTACGCGTACAAGTCGCGTAAAGAAAATTGAATTAACATCATTCATCAACAATTTCGCGAATTAAGCTTGCCGTTTTAATGCTTGGTATGCAATCTTCTTCTTTTCTTTCTTTTTTTTTTTTTTTGTCATGTTGTGGAGTAGGTATACAGATATTTTATCACGTCATATGTTTCTAATTTTCGATCTATTTTAGAAATGTCTTTTGTCATTGTTCTTTTCTTGTTATTGCTAAGTTATATAAAGTGTGTCTGGATAGTAAATTACATACACAAATTTATCTGTTTACATTATAAACATATTTTTTAATTATTTTTTTAATCTCATATACATCACAATAAAGAAGTGCTACAGTATTTTAAAAGCAATTATTCCAAATAATCTTCTATCCAAACATTATATACTACTTGTTTTCTTTCTTTTTATGGGAGCCCCGGCACAATTATGAGGACAATTCAGACTTTTTAGTATGGTAGGTGTACTAATACTTATCTGCAGACACGTACAAAGAAAAAGAAAAGGAAATAGTTATTTGTAGACGCGTTAAAAAAAAAAAAAGGGATTAAATTAGATTTGGTTATTTACGGGGCTTTGCTATCAGGGTGAATGTGTAAAATAGGCAGGTAGAACTTGACAGATATTTTACACTGATTAGTACGATTTAGGAGCAGTCAATTCCGAATCCAGTCATTTTTGGCTAATAAATTTGTACCATTAAAAAACTACAAAAAGGAAAAAATAAAAGAAAATGAATTGGTAGTCAAATTTAACAATTGCTTTTAACAATTGTGATCATATACATTTTTGTTTTCCAAATTTACCCAGAGAGTGATTATAACATGCCTTGCATTGAAGCGCTTAGGAATTATCCGGTCATAAAAGACAACAATATCAAGAATGGATTCTGGACTCAAAAAAGAAAAAAAGGGGTGCGCACACACACTTTTCTTTGTATGAATGTATTTTACAGCCTCTTGAGGCCTTTGAAGGCAATTCTTCACCATTTTCCCAAAAAAAAAAATTTTTTTTTTTTGCTCCAACCCTAGCTTGTTTTGTGATAAGAATAAAATGGACACATTCCTTTTTTTTTTTTTTTCACACTTCATGGAAGCATTGTTATTATTATTATTATTATTATTATTTTGTTTACAAATGCGAGTTTCGATGTGCTTGGGATCGATATATTTTATATGTTGCAACAATATTATTGGTTGTTTAATTCAATTATAAAAAGTCCAATTAATTAAATGGTTACATCTCCAATTCTTTTGAAAAAAATTCATGGTCGCTACAAATTACACTGTTCAAATCCTTACTCATGAGAGTCTATGCCCCTCAAGGGAAGTGCCTATATTGAACAGTCCCTTAGAACCTTGTAAATTGTTTCAAAACATTTGACCATGGATGATACAAAAAACAACCCTTCCCTGAATTTGTGTTTCAAAATACATATCATAAGCCAAAAACTTAGAAGCAAAAAAAAAAAAAAAAAGACAAGAAAAGGTTTTAATTACCAGAATTTGTCAAAGTGAAAAAGGGGCATTGACTATGAAAATAGTGACTGGCTAGTGTATTAAGTTTAATTAAACAAAGCCGCCATTGACTCGAATAATCTGTCCATTAACCCACTCCCCTGCGTCACTTGCCAGGAAACCAACCAAGGGAGCCACGTCCTCCGTCTGCCCCAATCTACCAAAGGGATTCATGTCCACCACCCTCTTCACCATCTCCTCCGTCTTCCCCTCAAAGAACAGCTCAGTTGCAATAGGCCCCGGGGCGACGCAGTTGGCCGTAATCCCCGTCCCTTTCAGTTCCTTGGCCAGTATCTTCACCATCGACTCCACGGCCGCCTTGGACCCCACGTATGCCGCGTACCCGGGGTATAACGCTGCCACCAAGGTCGTCGTTAAGCAAATGATCCTCCCCCCTCCACCGCGCTTGATCCTGTTGGCGGATTCCTTGCAGCACAAGAAAGCCCCCCGAGCATTGACGTTGAAGATGTTGTCGAAGTCTTCAATAGTTGTGTTCGCAACAGTGGGATACTTGGGGTCCATGATGCCTGCCGAGTTTACGAGGATGTGGACAGGGGAGTTGAAGGCTGACTCTGCAGAGTCGAAGAGGGTCTTGACCTGAGTAGGGTCTGAAATGTCGGCTTTGACGGTGATGGCACGGTTGGTGGAGTTACCATTGATTTGGGAAGCGACGATATTGGCTTGAGTAGGATTGGAGGAGTAGTTGATTACGAGTCTGGCTCCGAGTGAGGCTAAATGGAGGGCTATGGCCTTCCCGATTCCTCGGGAGCTGCCAGTGACAATGGCTACTCGGTCTTGGAGAGGGAGGGATTGAGTGGAATGAGCGGTTCCTTCAGCCATGGAATTGGATTTTAATTGGAGGCTGCCTATAGCTAATAGCTACCTAGTGAGTTGCAACTGCTACAGCTACAAGTGATTGGGAGAAAGAAGATCCCAAGCAGCCATATATATATAGAGTTAGAGGTTGAGGCAGTAGGAGGGAGCCATGCAGGGAGCTGGATGTTTCCGAATTTGTATTCCCTTTCATAACTCACAGTTTTTTGTATGAGTGTTTCGATAAATGGACTCTGCGAAGACACTTCAAAAGCCGGCAACTTTTGAAGTGCTCCGCAGCACTTAACTACTAAACCCCCCAAACCCCCCCAAGCGATGTGGGAACTTAACCCCACAGGGTGCCCCGCTATTCGGTTATCATTTATTCGTAGCAAATTGAATCGGACTTGTTTTGACTTTTGATAATTGGACGATGATCTGTTAGCTTCAGTCGTCACTGCTAAGGTCACCAAATGCAAAGAGTTGGACCATTCTGCCCTTCAGCATTATATAACAGTGCAAATTATTGAAAGTGGGAGAAACAGAAAACAAGGACTGAAAAAAGTCCAATCTGGACAGATAGTCAAATAGATTATTTGGATCGGAGGTTATTTGAAATAATTGCTGTAGTATTTTTTTTGATGTGATGTATGTAAGATAAAAAGATAGTTAAAAATTGTGTGTATGATGCAAGCAAAACAAAATTTGAGATTTTTATTTGAAACTCTTGCAATCCAATGACTCCCTACTTGACAGGGGCTTATTATATAAAGGCTCATGAAAAAGAACCAATTATGAAAAGGGATAAGTTCATGGCAGTAGTATTTTGTTGAAGCTTAGACTAAATGTTCTGGGACAAACAAATTCTGGTCTTAGACAATTTTGAACCCAGTCTTGAGAACTTGCATTCGAATATAGAGTTTCTAAATTATATCTTACGTATTTGGACGCTAGTTTCAAAACAACTTATTATTATTATTTTTTTTGTCGACACAGGGGTGTCTGGGTCAATTCTTATAGGACCCGACTAATCTCCTATGGCTCGGGCCCGGCGCCTCAACCCGATCCGAAGGCGATAAGTGCGCTACTACTGTACTAATGTGCATTTAATTTGGCAGGTATGCATTAACTTAAGGGCCTTGAAATTAGAGAAAAAAGATAAGTATCATAACTAGTTGTATCACCAATGCCATGTCAAGCTCTAGTCTTTTTTTTTTACTCCCTGTTGAGTAATTTCTGATACTTTTTCTTCATCTAGTTTTTTTTTTTTTGGAATGTCATATGTTTTGTTTTATTCCTCATTCCCCTTCCTTTCGTCTTACAACCATGCCCCCTCTCCTCCCATACTCGGGCCACCACAACTATTAACAGTGTCTTTCCAATGAAGCCATCTGTATTACAGGACGTTTGGATTATCCTTGAACCACAAATAAATATGACAAAATACTTAGAAATCAAATCCAAATAAAAAGTTACATATTGCTTTGAGCTAATTTTATATACACGTACAGTGCCTACATTATTACACATGACACATATAAATTTTAAAATTAAATTTAAATTTGAGTTAATTATCATACATAAAATAGTGAAAGTGTATAAACCATCAGTGCATAAAAGGTTTATTCTATTATTTTGTCCACCTAAATAATACACCATTAGTAGATATATCTCTTTTTTAGTATGGCCTCTGTGTTCCACAAGTATACATGTGTTTCTGGTCTTGAGTTGTATCTCCCTGTCTCGAAGAATAAAAGAAAGGAGAGCAGAAGGCGATGAGTTTTTGGGGAAAGAAAGTTATGGGAGGTGGAGGGAGGCTGTTGGTCTATATCAAGGTTGAAGGACGAAAGGCAAATATTGATTGAGAAAGGGACATAGATGGGTTTAATTGAGAAAATTCTACATCATTTTTCTACATGGGAGCAATGCTAACATGGGCCCCTTTTTTTACATATTTATTTTAGATTTCAATTTAGCTATAGGAACTTGATAAAACACCCCAATTTCTAGAAAAGACATTTTCCAAAATACTTTAAAACACACATTTATTTTTCTTTTCTGCCACCACCCTTCATAAACCATTTCTACTTCCACCCCCACCTTATTTCACCACTTTCGTTGCTTGCCACCACCTCTATTATTGCTAGCTTTCCCTTTCTCTCCCTCCTCCTTTCCAAACAAACCTCTTCTTCATCACTACCCACCACCCCTCTCTCTCTTTCTTCCTCTACCCCACCTTCCTCCCTAGCCCTCCTCCTCCTTTTCTCTCACCCCTTCTCCCTTTCCTCTCTTTCCGCTCTCTCCTTCCCCCACCACCAACCTCTCCTCTCTCTTTTTCGCTTCCTTCTCCTCCTTCATCTTTCCTTTTCTCCATTTACTTGATGACCAAATCTAAGATAGATATGGTTGAGCGTCCGATTCTGAGACCTATCACAAATTTTTTATCTCATTTCTACCCTTTAATTGTGTTTAACTACACATTGTAAACTTAAATTTTTCCAAACAACAATATATTCATCCCACATAAGGTTGTAGAAGAAAAGGACTCATGTTATATGAGTACTAATTGAATATTATCTTCTAAAACTATGACCTGATTGCATATGCCTCCTATACTTTCAATAGTGACATTTTACCATCATATACTCTAAAATTGTTGAAATCAAAATGATTTCACTACTTATTTAAAACTCAAAAGGTATGTTACCAGTTCTTCCAAACACACGAAACGAGGTAGATATAGTTAACCTTGATTATTTCAAAAAGGAAGTAATTTTGGAGAGCTAATAAGCAAGTTTATTCTAAGCGATTTCATTATAGAAAACTGCTATATCGTATCGTAGTTTCTTACTACAAAAATAGGACAAGAGTGATATTTTCTTTTTCTTTATATTAACTTATGTGTAGGATTTAGATTATATGGGATGCACAATTGCTTTCCTAAAATAAACTTTCACATTTTGTTTATTTAGTTGGAGTTCACATTCTTTCTTTTCGAGTTAAAAAGTAACAAGACAAGGCTAAAAAGGCAAAATAAAATGAATTAGGCACAAAAAGATTGAGTAAAAGGAGACTACAACAAAATCAATTAGGCCCTATCAAGAATGACAGAGTGTGGATTTAGATTTTATGTAGCTTTGGCACAATAATCTTCATTACAATAACTCGTTCATAGGGGCTTTTGGCAGTTTTCTAAACCTTACGAGGTTTTCATAATATTTGGTGCAACTCCAAGGGTCGCAACGCAGTTAAGCCAAGAACCGAAAAAAAAAAGTCAATAAATAGAAGAAAAAGAAATGACGGTTTCTTTTTCTTTTTTGTAAATACCAAAGTGTCAAAGTCAAAATCAAATCCCCCGCAAATGGAAGTACCAAATGTTTCTCGTTCCCAGCCACTGCCATGAGATGTTACCTCTTCCCGAGCTCACCCTGTTGGCCGGAGACCCAGAGACCCAAAATAAAGCCAATCTCTCTATCATTAGTTTACTATATCCTCTGACAAAACCCCATTAAAACCCTAATGTAGAGCAACTGCGTTGAGTCAACCAATGATCTAAGGATTTTCTACAGCTTTCTCAGGTGAATTCCTTGACAACCCCACTAATCCAAATTTCGTTCCCGTCCAACCCTATTAATGTTTTTATTAGTTCCTTCAAAGTTCGTTTCTCTTTTCAATTATGCCTATTTTATGCAGATATAAAGAGATAATTATTTTTTTCTTGTTGATATTTTTCTTTGCAAAATTTGAACTTCGATGGAAAGATAGATAGGATGACTCAGCCATCAGTGATCTTGGCAACTTCAAGCTATGATCATACAATTAGATTCTGGGAGGCAAAAAGTGGGCGTTGCTATCGGACTATCCAGTACCCGGAATCTGTAAGCATTACAAAGTTCTTGCCTTTCATTTTAAAGCTGATCATTTTTTTTTCGTTTTTCGCAAACAATGTCTCTATGTTTTATATCTTTTAGAATGTATGTTTTGTACATTTATGTGTATGAAAGTTGTGAAATTTAGGTGACTAATTACCTAATATTACAAGAGTTAATAAGCTTGAATGTACTTCTTGGACAGCTGTGTATATTTCTTGTATGCATCTTCTTGAGCAAGAATGCTTTCGTATCGAGAAAAAGAAGAAAAGCCTGAGCAGTATCTCTTGTTACGGTTTCCATGTGCCATACGAGATGGCATTACTGATTGAATAAACTTTGAGCTTATTTTGTTTTGATATTTGAAATTGGTTGATAACTCGTCTATTTGTTGTTTTTGGTATCCTCATCACAGCCCCAAGATTAATAGCTGCAATGACTGGTGGAGCACCTGAAACTGACTCTTTGCAAACAAAGAGGATATCAGACCTTTATAAGAAAATGCCTTTTATTGTCATTAGAAAATATCAAGTGTCAAGTCTTCAAGCATATCTTTGAGGAAGAAGTATTTATTCCTTTGAAACATCTCAGTGAATTAGATACCCCCAGCAGTACTCCTCAAACATGTGCTTAACTCAAAATTCTTAGTTCCACCAATATTGAATAAAAAGTTTGAGCTCAAGCCTGTTATTGGTTATATTTTTATACCTTCCATAATTATTTGTCTCTAGTTTACTATATCCAATACTAGATCAGTCAATAACTGCGTAACATAGACAAGATGTTTGCAAAGTTGAGGTGCATAGTGGCAACCCAAAGCACCAATCAGAGGATAAGCAGCCAAATCAAATAATGAAGTGAGCCTACCCATAATCCCAATGAATTTCGTTTCCTCCTTTGATTCCAAAACAGGTTAATGAAGCATTAATGGAAAGTCAGGTATAAGAGCATATCAGTGGCAGGGAAATATTTGCCTAAAAAATGGCTGGTCTATATTCTAACTGTTGCAAACACCATAAACAAAACAGGACACCGTATTGAGACTTTTGATCCTCTAAATGCTTCTTCTGCAAGCTTCTGTGCCAAATTAATTATTGGGTAACATGCCTTTACTTCTTGAATGTTGATGAAGACATTACATCAACCAAGATTCTACTTTTTTTTTGAGCTACAGGAAAATTAAATATCAATTGGAGACACACATTAGACACTTTTACGTGTGCAACACCTGTGGGGCCTCTCTCTCTCTCTTTCACTGAATT